CCCAGAACAGCACACCTTTTTGCCTCCAAAAAAACCATGTGTAAATTTGTCGGTGAAGGTTGCCCCCTGGTGGGCATCTGGGCACATAACCAACATGTGTGCAGCCTGGGCTTGGTCTGCGAACAAGAGGAAGGTGTACTGGCAGCAACAGGGGGCCCGGCAGTGCCTGGACTCAACCACGTCCCACCCAGAGTAGCAGAGAGCCCAGATCCAGGCCGACCTTAGGTGCTTTGCCAGGGGATAGCTGGTGCTGTCCGGTGAGTGTTCACTGCTAGCTGCACATCAACCGTTCAAACCCACCTGCCACCCCAAGGGAGGAAGATGAGGTTCGCCGTCCCCAAAACTACTGACAGTCTCTGAAGCCCCATTTTGGTTGCTGTGGTCGGAATCGGCTGGATGGCAGGGGCTGCGTCTGGCTTGGAAGCAAAACCACCACTGTGGGTGTTCACTGGTGTTATGGAACAAATGACACTTTGGTAGCAGGGGCAGGGAGTAGCGGGTGTAGGCAGCAGGGGTGAGAATGAGGGCAGGGCTGGAATCAGATGCAAAGAGGCTTCCAGGTGATGGAGGGCCGGATAACATTGAACATTCGGCAGGTGCTGGCTGAGGGCCTCTCCTGCCTATCAGAGGTGGGTCTGAGCCCGAGGGGAGAACATGGCTGTGCCCAGGACCCTGCTGGCCGGCGCCACTCCAGCGGGGTGTCTGCCCCCCGCCATCCCCCAACAAGGTGCAGCATCTTAAGATTCGCGTAAGACCAGTCTGTGGACAGGCATTATGGGTGTTGGCAATGGGCTGTGCTTCTGAGGGGCCCCATGGAAGCGGGGGCTCTCTGTAGAGAGGACTGCTTGATTTGTGGGGGAGGGGGGAGAAGCCAGAGACTGAGGTTACTGCATGGGGGGTACCGTCCATGGATGGGGGGGGGGGGGGGGGGGGGGGGCGTGGGCGGGAGTTCCACTGTGGTCAGCAGGCACTTCTCTGCAGCTTCTAAGTTCCATGAACCCCCACTGACTTGGCAGTCGCCACTCAAGAGCGACCCTGCAAAGCTGTACCTCTGTGCCGGAGCAGCCCACCGCGTCTCTGTCCCGCAGAGCCAAGGGCCAGTGTGAACCGCCGACCCTGCAGCTGTCAGTCTGCCAGGCTGACGCGGGCGAGGGGTGGTTCTCATGGTGCGGCTGGGGAGGGCTGGGGAGGTTGCAGGCCGCCTTGAGCAGTGGTTTCAAAGGTAAAAAGCAAGCCGCAGAGCCCACACACACAGAGGCCAAACTGAAACCAGCAAAGGCTTGCAGGTGTTTCTAGATGCTGGGCGACAGTCTCAGGATGCTGCTGGGGAGCGCACACCCAGTGAAAGGCCGTGGGATGCTCTCACTCTGTAGGAAGGAATGAAGGTCAAACACAGCACTGATTCTAGCCAAGGTAAAGGCGGCGGGCTGTGTGACTATCAGGGTCATTTAAAGCAAGGATGACTCTGTAAACGAAAGGGACGGGATGCAGAGATTCCCCCGGGCATCCCTGGGGCACCCATCCTGCAGTGCTGAAGAACAGAGGGAGGGCAGCTCTGCTTCGCATGGGGGGCGTTCCAGCCCCTCCTCTCCACCAGTGACAGCACTTACCAGTACTTGCCGCCCAAACGAGCACAGATGGTGTGACATCGTGCCAGGTGGCCCAGCTGTCAACTCTCACAGCCTCCCGAGGCCCGTCCAGTCTGCGACCTGCCACGCTGTGGCTGCTGAGAACTTTGTAGAACCCGGTGAGGTCGGATTGGAGCTGAATCATTAAGCGTTTCCTTTCCATTCCTAAAAGTTTAAATTAAAAGACTGGAAGTGTAAAAGGTTCCCATCAGATCCGACTTTATTGCGTTGGCAAACGGCATTTACTCTTAACCATTAAGAACATGAGATTCTGGCCTGGCAGTGTCGTAGGTTACACGTCAGGCCATCAACAAGCAGTTCCAAACCACCAACCACTCCACAGGAGAAAGGAGGCGCTCGGCTTCAGGAAAGATGTGCCGTCTGGGAATCACACAGGGGCAGTTCTATAAGGTCATTGAGTCCGCATGGACTCGAGGGCAGTGGGTTCAGTTTGCTGTTGTTCTAATGTACGCCACACGCGGAGTTTTGGGGAGTTAGCACAGAAACACTGCGGCTGGCCACCTCGGTAGGGACATCTTATTGCACGTTGCAGGAGGAGCTGGGCCGCCTGGGTTAATGGCTGGCAGTGAACTGCCCATTTCCATTCACCGATCTTATAGAGGAGGCTTCTAGAAACATGAAGTGCATTGTGGGTCTCGGGCCTGACTGTCCCCAGGACGGGACACAACTGGGAGTGAGTGTTTGAGAAACCTGATCACTGCCTGAGTACATCATCTTAAGACAAGATTACTGTCCGAGACACTAACTAAATGTTAACTCAAAGGCGGCTTTAAAAGAAGGAAAATGTGGGTGAAGAAAAAAAAGAACCAAGGGTCTCAAAAAAAACCCAAAAAAACCCAGGAACAACCCCCCACCACCCCAGGCATGGAGAATGCAGTCAGTCCCATCACCCAAGTCACAGCTCCTCCGTCCCTCCTGCAGCCAGACACCTCTGCGCTTCTGATGCAGGCGGCCCTCTCCTAGGAAAAATACCTATTCATAAGGAAGTGTGCATATGATTTGGGAAGGAGCACGGGTGCAGTGGTTGTACGCCGGGCTGTTGGGGTCAGTGGTTCAAACTCACCTGCTGCTCCACAGGATAAAGAGAGGCTGTCTGCTTCCATAGAGATCCCGATGCTTGGCAGTCCCTGTGAGGGAGTTCTGCTGTCCGGCCCGGCCACTGTGAGACTGGCAGGAGTGGGCTTTTGGGGGTGGGGGGTGGGGGGTGTTTGACACACACCCAAAGCCCCCAGGCTGTCAGTGTCTACCTGTCTTGGCCAAAGCGAGGAGACAGGAAGGAAGCTTGCCTTGAAGATAACAGGAACTTGAATCCGGCCCTCCCGAGAGCCAGGGCAGACACCCCAGAGATACGCAGAAGGTGAAACAGCAGATGGCGGGGCGCCCGCAGGCAGTTGCTTCAGGAAACTCTAACAACAGAACTGAGAGTGATAAGCTGCTAAGAGGGGAACCCACTAGGAGAAACCGGTGCCCATTGTGATGGACTGGAGAAGGCCCCGCCACCGAGTGTGGCCACCCTCTCACCCTTCCTGTAGACCACCGGGAGGACCAACCCAGGCCAAGAAGGCCGAAACGTAAAGGAAGAAGAAACATCCGTTTGCTAAACGACTCCCCCAACAGGTATCTGAACCTGGAGCTCCCCTGACAAGACTCCCCATTTCTGAGGTTCAAGGGAATGCACCCTTTCACAAGTCTGAGTCCACAGAACTCTCCTGGTGCCGCTTCTCAACTCAGCCGGGTGGCCAGTGCCTCAGTTTCCCAGGAAGCGGCTGGTTAGGAGCAACGTCCCAGGCTTGCTTGCTAAGAAAAGAGGTACTGAGGAACCTGCCTGAGAGGGCAAACAAGCCCACTGACCAGGAAGTCAACACTGCAGCTCAGTGAAAACCCAGTCCGACCAATCAGAGGCCACACGTCCAGTCGATGTGGCCCATCTGTTCCTGCAGCAGGGGTCCCCTGTGATGGCCTCTGATCACAGCTCCGGATGGCCAGTCTCACTGAGTGACCATCTGCTTCTGTGAGACCCAGAAACTAAGTTGTGCCTGACATACAGGCAGGACAGGGGCCCCAGAACCAGTGATATGCAAATGACCTTGTGACACACCAGGCCAGATGGATGTGAAGACGGACCCCAGCCTGTGCCCCGCTGCACACACACACCGGGGCTGCCCCAGGTGCCGAGCTCTGCCACCCCCTGGCAGCATCTGCTCATTGTCAGTGACTGTCCTGGAGTCCTCGCACCCTCCCCAACGCCTACCTCAACCTGCCCGGGACTGCGGTGTCCGCCCCCAAAGCAGCAGGCGTCATGATGCTTTGACCTGAGGACTGTACCCCACGTGGGAGGCGGCCAGCAATCAGAGCGACCCCGGAATCTCTAGGGGCGCCTCCTTAGGTATGGACGCCGCTGAATGATGACCGTTCAAAGGAGCGATTTGTTGAGAGAGAGAAGCTTGATTCGAAGGCAACATGGGGCGCTGTGTAAAAGCTGCACCTTGCCAGCACGTCAGACTGGTGGGTTCAAACGGGAAGCGGCTTCTTTCACCCAGCCCCACCCTGCTCAGAGGCGAGGAGCAGAGGTTCCCGGATGTCCTGTTGCAGCACAGTCCTACGAGGAGTCTGCTTCAAATCCTGCTGTGGACAGCCTGCTCCTCCCTTGGTGGGGGCTGGGCACCGTGTCCCCCGACCGATCCCTGGGCAGCAGGATCCATGCCCCAGCCCAGGTGTCAGGAGGACGGATCAAGTTAAGTGGACTCCAAGGCTGGCGACCCCTGACGTGCCCAGATGTTGCCCCAGGATTCCACTGTCACTCACACAGTGTAGCTAGCAGCAGCAGCTGTGAAAGCACCACGCCTACTCTGGGCGCTAACTGCTACATTGCACACCCAGTGCCTGAGCTGAGCCACCTCCTCTGCCCACCCAGGAGACCCAGCCCACGGCTGTCTTCTACACTTGTTCTCCTTGTGCAGAGGAGTAGAATCCCACCATCATCGAGACCCAGCAGGAAAGCCAACAGCCAGGTGTGTCCGTCCTGGGACAGGTGCACTACTCCATGCACACCGTGGGCTGGGCTCCAGGCCATGTCCCTACTGCCCTCACGCCTGGCTCAGCTCAGAGCCACCCTGCCGAACAGACCCAGGAGTCACGTGTGCAAACTGTAATACAGCCGGGTGTGCTTTTCCCACAAGCTGCCTCCGCTACAGACAGACTGGATCCCCACACGTGGGCGCAAGAGGCGTCCCCTGAGCATGGGAGCACCCCCTTCAGAACGGCTGCAGGTGGGGCAGGGCGCCGCTTACTGACTCCAAGTCTTGGGGTGTTCAGAGGTGAGTCGAGGCAGGGAAAAAAGCCACTCAAAAGTTCAGTAATTCAATAATTTATTCCTCTAAAAAAGTGTGTAAAAGTATATAGCTCTCATCCACAAGGTATATATGAATGACATTTAAAATGGAGGCCTTTTATCAAAGTCTTTAGTGTACTGTACCAGCGCTATACTGTAGTTTCTCTTAAATGAACTTCACATGTCTTTGTATTCTTTCCAATTGTTCGCTATATATAAAAGCAGCTCACTGCAAAACGCTTGAAGGAAAAGGAAACAAAGGAAAGAGAACGCCCAGAGCTGTACAGCTCTGAAGCGACACACAAGCATGCTGGCCCGCCCCGCCCGTCCCCCTTTAGTCCAAACCGTGGTCAGAGTTCTGATTTCTGCAGAATTTCCAAAATTAAAAATAAAAAAAAAAATAACTTCTCACTCTGTAGCAAATCCAGGGCTTGTACATTTCAGATTAATTCAGTAAAAAACTCACAAGTAAAATAATGCATATTTAAGGGAAATATTATACAGACTTTTCACACAGAAGTACATAAGATTTTTTAAAATCTATTGCCATTCATTTATTTTTGCACAAAAACGTATAAATATGTCACCAGCTTTTCTTAACTTAAAAAACTTAAATAAGACACCCGATGAAAACTACCCTTTGCTGCCTTTTTTTTTTTTTTTTTTTGAGTTTTCGTAGGGGTTTTTTTTGTTTGTTTTTTATATTTCTTTTTTAAATTAGAATTGGGTTTCTAGGGAAGAAAAGCCCCCTGCATTAAAAACAGCCCGTTTAAAAAAAAATCCAAAGTTCTGATGAAGTCTGGGAAAAAAGCAACCCCAAAGTGGTAAAAGATTACAAATATCTACTTTACAATGTGTCTTCTCACCAGGATAATTTTATACAAGTCTACAATCTTCATCATTTTATGCTCTTCAAAAGACCTTGGGAAATTTCCTTTCTGATTAAGAAAAAATAGCACTGCAATATTTTTAAAGTTGATTTTACACTGTACACATTAGATACAAATGGTTTGATATATCAGATTTGTAACCTATACATTGCGAAAGGCGCCCCCTCCCCGGCGGCACAGAGAACCCCTAGTCCAGGAACACGGTCCTGCTCTGCTCCCATGGCCCGCCACGCCATGCCACTCTGCTTTCAAGATAATGTTTTAAACGTTAGATCATTTCAAGAAAAATACTTTTACAAAATCATATTGATTATTACATTTTTCTTTTTTGTTAACAACCATGATGTGGAAGTCTCTTGGAAGAACGTTTAGCTGTGCGGGATCCTCTCCCTGGCAGTCTGCAGGGGGCTGCCTACTGCGGGGCAGCACCCGGCACCGCGAGCCGTGAAGACAACCCTCTCGAGCCTGGAATGAGGAGTCGTGAAATGCTTCCACCAGCCACGGTCACTTTTTAAAAGGCGTTTTAAAAAAGTCCCACCATGAAGGCTCAACTTCAAGTACGAATTTATGTTGTCATATTTCTTTGAAATAAGATTCCTATGGTCCACAAAAAATTCACCCTATTTATAGCTGATTTTCTGAGCAAACACTTTTGATTGTGATATGTACATGAGTCCCGTTTGATCCAATGAGGAGAGGCCTGGCTTTCGGGAGCAATTCATTGGGAAGGAACTTGCTGCCAGGACCCTGAGCTGGGCGTCTGCCTTCTGTACAGAATCATGGCCCCTTCTAAGGAAAGTGGCAGAACCTTGAAAATCCAGTTTGTTCTTAACCAAAGCTACTGCTGGAATGAGACTGCTTAGACACGGTCCTCCCAGCGGTGGGCCCTCCTCCTCCGAGGACCGAGGTACGCAGTCAGAATCCCGTGGTAGAGCTGAGCTGGCTTTCAGCTACTGTCCCCGGTCCTCACAAATGAAAACAAAACCATCAACCCCCCACCCACCCACCACGTGACAGAACGACTTAAAATAAATAAAAACATGAGGCTCTCTCCAGACCTTCCTAGGAACACACTGGGGAGCTGTCGGCAGGCCCGGAAGCTGGGGCTCAGGCCACCCCGACAGCTAGAGGGTTTTATCCAAAGGCTAAATCACGCTCCTGTTTAAACAGAGACCGAAAAACAGACTCTTGTGCAAAAGGATACTGTCTCTTCTGTTGCCCTCTTAAAACCAACCCTACCAACCCTTCCTGTGGACCAGTGAGTGGGGCCACACACAGCATCCACGGGCGGAAAGTCGCTGCTTAGGGAGGTTTCCAGGTAGGTGAGAGAAGTGTTCGTCCCGCGGTGATGAGCACTGTGGAGAGTAGTCTGAGGAGAAGGGAGGGCCATTTGCAGAGTGGAGCGGGCCCCTGGACCCTAGAGGCCAAGTGCTTTCCTTTAGAGGATGTTCATGATGGCGTTGTACAGCTGAGTGAGCACCACAAAGTGGACAGGGAGGCAGGAAGTGCGGTCCTGGGTGGCTGGGTTGCAGGTGAGCCAGGACAGGGCATTGTACTGCTCCAGGACAAACCTGCGAGAGATGGGCCACGTTGGGCGGGCCTGCAGAGCACAACCCGTCCACGCAGTTCTTCTTGTTCCCTGCCCTCAAGGTCACCCCAATTGGGGTGTGGCAGCTGAGCTGGCTGGAGTATCTGACTAGCACAAGGGGGTTCCGAGATGCAGTCTTTACAAAGAAAGAAGGGGAGGAGCTTGTTTCAGGGAGACTCGGATTCTCTCTGACTCGAGTTTGTCGGCCAGAGGTACCAAACTCATGGATGACTTTTCTCAGTATGTGAAGGCTCACCTCGGTCTGTGTCCAGCAAGGCGCCTCTTACATGCCTGCTTCACTACAATTCCCAAGTCATTTAGGAGTTAGAAAATACTTACTTTCTCACAGTAGATAAGGAGTCAGTTCTGATTCAGTGATCCTACATACACAACAGGACAGAGCTGCCCCTGCACTTTCTGAGACTTTCTCCCATGGGATGACTCATGGTTTCGTACTGCCGACCTTGTGGTCAGGAGGCCAACAGACGGGTCCCTTTGGGTTTCCCAGGTGACGCTGCCCCTCCCACCAGACAGCAACTTTTCCATCAGCACCAGAGGAAGAGAACTGCCGCCAGCATTGGGAACCAGTGTTACCTTAAAACATCAGATGTGGTCTTGGAGTCCAGAGGGTGTGGCACCCGCTGCGAATTCCTGGCAGGGAGAAGTTCGTCCGTCTGTGCTACTGAGATGTGGTGGTGCAGTGACGCCTGGAGAGAGACCGGTGGTAAGTGGGAAACCGTGACTCAGCCTGTGAGGCCCTCTTCTTATTGGGAATGGGCAGACAGCAAACGGAGCTTAACACCGAAGGAAGTGGGAATGCTCGAGCACCCTTCTTCACTAGCAGATAAATTCACGTCAGCCCTATCAGACAGGGTGGAGCTCTGCCCAGGGGACTCTCTATGGGAGCAGAAAGCCTCACCATTCTCCCACTCTGAAAGGGAAGTGCTTATACTAGTTGTTGTGGGTTTGGGTCATGGGTACCATCATGTAATCTGTACAATTTCTATCTTCTAAAAAAATGTCTCCATATTTGGTTTAGTAAACCCATCTTCATTGTTATGATAGCAAAAGATTAAGTTTTACAGTTTGTATCTGATACATGGCTTCACAAAAAGAAGGCGTGAAATAACCTCTCTTCCCAGCATCTCTTTGGGTCAACTCATTCCCTAGGCCCAGAGAGAGACGGCCAGGCCTCGGGGTTTTGCTGACCTGTTGGTAAAAGTGGTGTTTGTTCTAGATCCCCTCACCTAGAGGGAAGAAGTGATCTTTTGTTGTGTGAGTGTCGGCACCCAGCCTTTTCCAACAAAGCTCCCGGGCAGCGGGAGGGCGAGTTATCTGCCCCACTAGGGACTGCGTGCGCCCGTTCTGCAAGGCCCAGCACACCAACCTTGAGGAAGAGGGGGCACTGGTTCTGAGCCTGCGGGCAGGACGACCAGAACCACGGGGGGAGGTTCTCGGCTTTGGCAGTGGAGACGAAATACCCGAGGGCCAGTGGCTGCTGCTTCAGCTCTTCCGGGGCCTCTCTCGACAGCAGACGCTCACCCTGGCTCTGAAAGACACAAGATCAGCAGTGTCCAATCCCTTTCCCACAACTCTAGGTCACAGGCAAGCGAGGAGGCAAACTTTGTGGCTTGTGGAATGTTAAGTCTGGTGATCATTCCGATTCTCAATGACCCAATTGTAGATTTTCTGAGGCCAGACAGCCCCTTTCTCTCAAGGTACAACTGGTAGGTGTATACCTGTGGTTAGCGGTCCTGAGGCTGACCGACTGGTGAAATTACAAGGTGACAAGATCAGCAGTGTCCAATCTGCTGATCCACTCCAAGCGATGCCCACTACGGAGCTGCTAACCACAGGACAGCGGTTCAAACCCACCAGCCGCTCCATGGGAGGAAGACGGGCAGACCCTAGGAGTCAACTGAGCAGCAGGAAGGTTCATCTCTGGCAGCTGCAGGCTCTTCACAACTGCGCTCTTTTCCAGCGACCCACCAAAGCCATCCAACCGGCTACTGTCAAAGACACCTGTCTTCGCCAACAGGGGTTTTCTGTGGACACTTTCTGCACCTTCAGCAGGGCACCCTGAAAACTGGGACATCCCAATCTTATCAACTACAACTACCAGGACTCCTCATTCCTCCTCTTCCGTGTCTCGGAGTCACCCTGCTCTCAGCTTCGAAAAGCAAAGGAGCCTGTGTGACAGGGAAATGGGCAGGAGCCAGAGCCTGGGGTTCAAGGCTCCGGGACAAGAAGGTAGTCTGTCACCTCCCTCTAGCTAATGAACCAGAGGTTCCATTCCGCATGTGTGTGCGTCTCCACACGGGTGTGAGCAGCGCTGCTTCTGTCCATGTACGTCTCTGCCCATTTCCCAGAGCTAGCAGCCTGGTGGGGAAGTGAGGACACAGCAACCATGTCCACTGTCGCCAACGAAGGGCTGGCAGCGCAACACTCTCTCTCTGAGGGACCACGGGTGCACGCCAGAGCGCTGTCGCCTGCACCCAGGCCATCGTCCAGGACCATCTTTCTGACTACACTGAGGTAGGCACCAGGAAAAAAGAACACATTTCAGTTCCCGACAGAGCCGCAGTCTCCCAGAGCAGAGCACGCACCCCCGATGGTTCCGTCGTTAGGAACCCTTACCCGACTGTGCTGGAAGTGCGAGCCCACACCGATGCCTGAGGGAGAGCCGGGGGAGGGGACGGGGGAGGAGTTGGGGGAGGAGTGGAGGTTCCCAGTGATCAAGATGCCGATGTCATTGTCCATGTCGTCTGGGAAAGGGAGGTCAAACATGTCGTCTAGAGGGAGGAGAGAGAGAAGGAACAACTATTAGAGGCGCCCCAGGTCTCCTGAGTCAACGAAGTGAAACCCAGAACCGCCTCTGCACAGCCACCAAAGGCGACTCCGTCTGTAGACTGAGCCGTGAGAGCTCCCAGCCATGGGTCCGGCCAGAAGGGAAGGGTCAAAGAGGAAAAAATTAGCACCCGCAACCCAGACACCGTGAACGGGCTTTGAAAAGGTAGTGGAGAATTACCCTGTCTTTTAATCCCATTATCCACAGACTTCCCTCATTTATAAAAAAGGGCATCTTTCCTCCTGCTCCATTTCATAGGGCAAAATGTCAAAACAGTTTCAAATGTAATTACTCGTTATATCTTAAACAACAAAGTCTTAACAAATGCCTTACGGAGACTACGTAGTCTCTCAGCTTTCACGGTGCCCAGTGGTTACAGGAAGAGACCTGCCAGCCTGGCACTCACCATTGTTGGGACTGAAGCCGTCTTCATTGGGATAGTGGGCTGGAGCCACCTGGATGGTTGATGACGTGGGGAACACCAAGATGTGTGTGCAGGACGCATCCTGAGGGGTGTTGAGCTGAGATGACTGCATGTTGAGGGCAGTACTTCGGCCAAAAACAGAGCCCATCGTGACAGCATCTTAAAGAGAATGAAAACCAACTCCCCTGTGAGGATCCGGGCCATCAGCAGCACGGTCAGCAGTTCAAACTCACTACTGGCTTCTCAGTAGGAAGAGGAGGCTGTCTACGCCCATGAAGAGCTCCAGCCTTGGAAACCCTGGGCTGCCGAGTGGGTTGGTCTGTTTAGTCTTGAGAAAAATGGCCTCGGTGCCTGCAGCTCTGATCAGGCAGGCCCCTCCACACAGCGGGTTACACTACCACTGACAACTATTTCCAAACATCAATATCCCAGTTAGCTGTGGTTACTTACACTGTATATAGAACTGTAGGAACGGTGCCTCATTCAACTCACTCTTTATCAGATCTAACATTTTATTACACACTGAGCTCTGGCTCATGCTCCTCACTAGGATCATCGAAGCCCTCAGTGAGGCCAAGAACAGCCACTCGGGTGGGTGGCCAGTGAGGACTATCTCGATGTACCAGCTGCCTGGTTGCCGAGTTTTTTTACACCAGCCTGCTCTTTTACACCCCATGCCCACACGCATTTACTGAGCAGACTGTGGTGCGGGCCTGGGTGTAACATGCCTCAGCCCTGCCCGCCTCACCATCCAAACTCTTCAAAGGGGATTAAAATCCATACCTGGCTAACAGAATCATGCCGATGGACTCTGGCCTGACCCAGACTGAAAAATAACTCTCGTTTCTGTCCCAAACGGACCGACGGGCCCTGAAAGGAGCCGTAAGGCTACGCCTGCCCAGACTGAGCCCGGGCAGCAGCTTACCTGGCATCACCACAAAGGAGCCCTGGGGCTCCATGGCCACCAGGCAGGCACTGAGGATAGAGGGCGAGTCAGCAGCCGAGATGCCACACATGCGGCACACGTCCTTGAGCTGTTTGCTGATTGTCTGCAGGGAGCACTCTCCCAGGAGGATGCTCCAATCTGAAATCAAACGCCAGGGTCTCGTGAGGTCACAGGGGCAGTGCAACCTAAGTCACCTGGTGACGGCACCTGGCCCACCTTCTCCTACTCCACTTCTCCTGTCACTTCACTGGGGAACAGAGCAAGGCAGGGGCTACGATGCGGTTGGCTCTTCCCCTGCATGGCCAGGGATAAGGGGCCCGCTCAAGTGGACAGACAACAGGACACAACTTCCTCTTACATGTTTAGTTTGCTGTGGCCAGACCAAAGTGAGGCGGGACAGCAGACGGACAGCGAAGGCAGAACCAACCCAGGCCCAGGGCCCCGGCCACACTAGGGAAAGGAGAGCGGCCTGTGTGAGCCCCAGTGTGACCAGCCCAACGCTTTCAGGAAGTAAGACAGCCATTCCGATAGGAAGGGTGGGAACCCAGGTGTGTGCCAACAGACTGTTTGCACCAACTGCTGGGCAGCCCGGGGACATCGCTCACTGCAGCATTTACTGTGTGAGGGCTTCCCAAATCCCCATAAGCATTCCCAGTGAAGAGACAACGGCACGTTCTGGTGCCGGCAGGTCAAGGGCCTCCCTCCAGTGTCAGCACTTCTCCTGCCGGCTCCCAGCCTCCCCGTCGTCTTGTTACTCTCTCTGCAGCCACTTTGATGAGAAAACCCCGGTGGCGGACCAGATCTGCAAACCATTGCCTAGATACCCAAGACTAGGCTCTTATGGCTTTGACATCTCTGATGTAACATTGTATGTTTAAAAGTAGTTTGTTGTCCTTGTTTTGTGTGCTGGGGGGCTCCATTTGAATAAAGAAAAGCTTGAAAACCACTGGGTTATCTGGTATGTGCCTAAAAGGGCTTCCACCAAGATCCCCAAGTGCTCTGTAAGAATCACCAGTGGGTGTGGGGTGGGAAGATGAAGGGGGCTGACAGAGGCTGGCGTCAGAGCCTGTCCACATGCCACCCCGCTGCTGCAGGCCCCTCTCACCTTTAAGCTCCCCGTGGCCCAGGCGTCCCAGCCGCCCGATGACGACCCTCCAGGGAAGTGACGTCATCTGGACGATTCCGATGCACCACTCCCACAGCTTCTGCAGGCCGATCTTACGCGCTGAGACCTTGCTCCTCCGAGATCTGCAGGCAGGGGGTCCCGAAGAACTCGGTTATTACAGTCTTACATGGAAAGACAACCCGTTAGATGCCAAGAGAGCGGAAGTACGCAGGGGCCTCACCTGTTTGGTAAAGCAATATTTACAATGCAGGTCTCCAGCAGCTCCCCGTGGAGGTCAGTGCATGAGGCCAGAAGCCAGCGCTGGTCATGAGACAGGCAGTAGCCCACAAAGAGCACGTTGTATTTCTGGCTGGCCTCGCCGAACGTCTCACCCAGCTCCGTCTGCTTGTCTTTGATTGGAGCCAGGATGAAGGGTGGGGAGTAAAGCTGGATAGGGCTGGGCCGCTGGAACCAAAAGCAGGCCTGCGTGAGCACCGGCCTTTTGACGCAGCCTTTCCACCTCCACTGAGTGGTTATGCACACACACGGGGCTTCAGCAAGCTCATGGGGAACTGCAGCCCCGCGTGTGTGCAGAATGCTAAGAATCCTGCTGCCATGACCTAGGCTGGGAAACCCCCACTATTCTATTTTTGAAAGTAAACTGGTCCCACTTCATTAGAACAAGGAAATTAGAACCACAAGAAGTTACTGCTACTCATTCACCAGAGTGACCACCATTTCAAAGGCAGGAAGCACCAACCAAGGTTCAGAGAACCCGAAACACCAGTTCTTTTACTACCCATGGGGGGGGGGGGGGGCTGTCGGGCACAGGGCCCATCCATAAAAGGGCTGGGCAGTCACTGCTACGGCTGAAGGAAGCACGCGCTAGGACCCTGTGGACAGGGACCAGGACCAGGACCAGAAGGATCTCCACATTAAGACCCGAGGTACAAACTGGAAATAACCCACTAATGGTAGCACGGATCATAAATTGTGGTACACTCACAAAACGAGTATTCAACAGCACACAGAATAAAGGGATGCACCCCAACGCCGTATGGAAGATGCCAGATTTGAGAGGGTGCAAAGTTCAGAAACGCGCCAAGGGAGATGGAGATGTGACTGCTCTTGGTGGGGGAGGCTGGGCACTGTGCGGGTCCTACTCAGTGAGCACTCGGCCAGCAGCATGTCTCTGCCCCTAGACTACACGTGTGTGTGCACGCGCGCCGCACTCTTCACACAGGCAAGCTAAAATCCAAGCAGCAGCTGTTACCTAAGACAACACCGTCATCTGTGTTGCGGCTGTGGCACCCAGGTGACTAGTGAAGGCGCCACGGCAGAGCAGCACGCTGTCCGTGGCAGGCCAGGAGCAGGCATTTCAGACTGCGTGGGCCCTGCAGTCTTTCTCTCAGGATGTGACTGGAGCCCTCAGTGCCCACCGATGAATGGCTACCAATAGGGATTTATCCCCTGGGGACCTCGTCCCAGGCGGTGAAATGGAGCGGTGTGCTAATGGACACGAAGATGGGAAAGAAGCTGGAAGAGTTCAGGCTTTTACTTAGGAGCGGGATGACTAACTGTGTTACACAGCCCTCCTGGCCCACCCACATCACCAGCTCTGTGGTTGTGAAAGTCTCCCGTGAAAAGCCGTCTGCTGGTGTTATTGTGCATGCAGTGGTTGAAACTGGGTTTTCAAGGCTTTGGAAATTCTAAACGTGGCACAAGATGGTTTTTTGTTTGGCTTTGGTGCTCCGCATTTCCACCAGAAGCATGAATCCACGGAAAGCTGGTTTCCACTTCCATCCGAGAAGAGGAAGAAATCCACTCTCGGGCAGAGCGCTGCTGCAAGTGTGGGCAGCAGACACCAGGGCAGGGGCAGCTGAGAAAATGTGGAGTATCTCCCTGATGAGTGGAAGGCACAGCTTCACTTCAAAATGCGAAAAGCATAATACCTCTAGTTACACTGAATGTTTCTATTTACACGTGTTAAGTATATTTGCCAAATGAGGTACCATGTACCAAGAGTTGACTTGTCTGGGTTCTTAGGGCAACATCAGACTTCAGCGGAGGGAAATGAGCCCTGCATGGCTCTGGATTAGTTAGAGCCACTCAGACTGGTCTTTTTGGTTTCTGTGCTTCTTGGCAGGTTTCAGCCCTGCCTGTACCCACCTCAGGGTTCTTGAGGGTCATCTCAATGCTGGCTGCAGGCCCGAACCCCGTGAGGGATTTAATGTGGATCTGTGTCGGCAGCGGCCGCCTGCACTGGCAGTACACGGAAAATGCCATGGACTTCAAGTACTGAATGTAGAACACGTGCTCATCCTTCATTGTCTGCAGCATGTACTGGCAAGGCACAATCTACAACACAAACACAGACAGAGCGGGTCTAGTCTGAGGACAAAGCAGGAGTATGGAAGGACACGACCTCTTCACTTACACCTGAGCTTTAACACGGGTACACGTCAGACCATACACTTCAATCCCCGTTCCTCCCAGTGGTACCAAATCTGAAATTACAGCTGTTGCCAGGAATTTAAGAAGAGGTGTGTGATGTTTGTCACATACATTGCCATTGAGAAATTAGTCTGCCCCTTCTGTTCCTCGCTGGGTTCAGGGTTTGAATGGGAGCCCCGTGGCCCTCTATGACGCAGATGCTGTGCCCAGCTTCTCTAGGGTCAGATCGCCCATGGCACAATCGGCCAAGCCAGGGAACCAACAACCAGTTCAGAGGGCACTCATTTCTATCAGTTCATTCTCAAAGATGGCTGTGGTGAGGGCAGCATTAGATTCAGCTAAACCCTACAGCCCCTCCTTTGTCCCTATGAAATCACAGCAGCACTGGAACTGTGGTGTCAGAAGCTAGTGTCCACCTAGAAGAGTCCACTTCAAGTGACACACTGATTTCAGAAAAGCTATAAAGGTTTTTACGACTATTTCATTCATAATCGGGGTTTTCCCCTACTGTAAAAGCAAATAAATACCTACTTAAACAGAAACGGTTGAAAATGGGAAGTATATAGTGATTCAAAAGGTGTGAGAATTTTAAAGTAACACAAGGAAAAGTTCATAAATCATGTTTTAAAAAAAGACAATACTGATAATATAGTCTAGGCTATAAACGCAAACATCTAATTAGGCTAGGGATGATCTGAACATGCTGCTGAACCTGGGAGGTGGAATCACGCATCTTTCCTTTGATACCTTCCTGTGTTCTAACAGGAGCCCTGCTAGTGCAGCAGGCCATGACTGCTAACCAGAGGTCAGCAGTTCAAACCCACCAACCAGTCTGCAGGAAAAAGATGAGGTAGTCTACTTCGTAAAGATTACCGTCTCGGAAACCTTACAGGGCCAGTTCTCAGTCTTAAAGCGTCACGATGAGAATCAACACAGCGGGTTTGGTGGCAGTGGGTTTCGTTTTGAGGTTTTTATTATATTGAAAAAAATTCTAAAGCCTGAACCCTTTCTTTACAACTTCAGCAGTAAACAATAAATTTGAACAGTCACCTGGAGAATGAAAGAGTCCCTCATATGCTCAGGTAAATTGTCCAGCATCTCCGTGTAGCAGCGCATCAAGCTCAACAGCCAGAAGTTCCCGGACGTGGAGTCGTCCTCTGCAGTGTAGGTGAAGGGGTCCACCATGTAAATGACCACAGCTGGGGGGTAGGCATGGCTGTCTGCAGAGTCGGGCTCCGTGGGAATGCCGATCCTCTCCCTGTCTGTCACACTGGGAAGGGAGGCACTTGTGAGATGCACAAAATAAAACGGGGTCACATGGAGGGAGGACTAAGAGGGCAAGAGCCGCATGGCACTGAGTACAGGTCCAAGTTCACTTCAGTGAGTGCCACACTACCAAGAAAAAGGCAAACCCACCCAGAGCGGGCAGAAAAGGACAAGCGTCCTTCCCCATGGAGATCACCTCCAACCTCCTCTTCCTGATGTGTGAGATGTTTCACATAGCAGTCTTACAGAATGCTATCCCTCTGAGGGTTGCAAATTTCTTCAGACCAACCAGCTTGACATGTATGGAAGGACCCCTGGTGTCATAGTGAGTTACAAGTTGGGCTGCCAACTACAAGATCTGCAGTTCAAAACCTATTAGCTACTCCAAGGGAGAAAGATGTTACAGCCTCAGAACCCCACAAAGGCAGTTCTACTACTCTGTCCATCCTACAGGCTCCCATCCCAGTCAATCGACCTACAGCAATCAAGGAACAGTAGTGAGCGTGGTTCTGGGATACAGTGTTCCAGTGCCGATGGTTACTTTCTCTGGGGAAGAAATTGAGCCCTTTACTAGGCTCGAGAGACTAATGCGGTCAAGGGGTAGAGGAGTCCCGCTCGGAAGCCACTTGCTGGAACCAAGCACAAGGCACATACCTTTCTTGTCCATCCTGCGAGGTGCTCTGCCCACACTCAGGGTCCCCACCACAGCCGATGGTCCCTTGCGCTCGGTCTGCAGAGCTGCCCCCGGCGCTGGGGTTCTGCCCTCCAATGCTAGCACTGAACCCCGAAGAGGCAGCAGTGCTTATCTGGCTCATGCCTGGGGCAGAGGTGGAAGCTGAGACGGGGGCCCCGGAGGCCCCAGGGCCAGAACCACTTGCAGGGTTGGCAGAACTGCTGTTGGAGGTGGGGTTGAACGCATTGCCAGCTTGGGGTGCTGCAGATCCTGCATTTGGCGCCAAGGGCCCAGCACTCCCCGGCGGGGCCTGACCCGGTGCTGTTGCTGGTGGGCTCTGGTACTTGGGTGGTGTCAGCAGGCTGCTGTCCAGCTGCAGGGTGGCTAGATAAGGTGCTGGAAGAGGACACGTAAAGGTAGCTTCAGTGAGGGCGGCCGTGTCAGAATGAACCCGAACTTCAGCAATTTAAAAAATATGATGCTTTCAGACCACAAAGCCTATCATTACATCAACTGAAATGCTAGCTCAACAAGTAAACAAGCTGTATTATGCAGACATGGATACAATAGGAACAATTCTGGGGGGAAGCTTCTTTTGGAGAATGAATTTCTCCTGTGTTAACTCTCTCCTTGTGGACTCACTCCAAGGGCCCTTCAGGCTCCTGGGTGCACACTACAAAATGGGGCCTTGTGCATCTCCACAGGTCTCTGGAAAGCGTGGGTTCAAACAACTCAACTGTCATGGCACCACGTTCCTGGAAAGGGGGGAAAGGGGGGGTGTGTGCCGGAGGGGTGAATTAGACAGGGCTGCTCCAGGCAGCTTTACCATGTTTGAAAGAACGTGAGTCTACGAGGAGTGTTCTCCTGCCCAGTCCCCTTTGCCCAGCCAGCAAGCTCCCGCTTACCTAGGTGATGGCGGCAAACTTTCGCATACAGTTTGAGTCTGGAATGATTGTCACTCTCCTCGCTGCCCCAAGGCTGGCTGAACCACTCGCTCACCAGCTCCGAGGTCAGCTTCTGTGCCCCACTCTTCCCCACACGCATGATCCCGTCCCGGAGCACTTTGCAGATGGGTTTGTGCTGCCCCAGCCGACACATCTGAAAGAGAGTTCATCGCACACAGGGGCAATGAGCAGGGCAGTCCGAACAGCCCTAGCATGGTGGCCTCTCCGCCTCTTCTCAGCTTTGCAACGAGCAGCCCAGACTCATGAGCCAGCCCTTTCCGACAGCTGTCACATGCCCCTCTGCGGCTGGCTGCCTCTCCCGAACCTAGAGGGAAGCCTCTGATAGGACAGACCTAAGCTTGCCCTGCGTGTCCCCCTCATCCACCCACCCAAGTGACAGATGACTGACATGTAAAACTGCCTCTGGGGCTGACTGAGAAGACGTCTGCCTAAGCCTCTGAGATGATGCCCACGCAGGACACATCCCCATCAGACACCACCGCCACCCTCAGCGCCATGTGCTAGGCTGAGGCAGGCACCTGTAGACCACCCACTAGCTGAGCTCACTGCAACAGGGAGCGTGCCTACCACTTTTTAGTTACTTTGGGTCACAGATTCAGGTATTTGTCTCCTAAGGCATTACATGGGTACAAAGAGCGAAGAATTTAGACAATGTACCTGCCAAAGGGAAGCTGCTAGGTACCTGCTCACCAGCAGGAAAGGCAACACCATTAGCCCCAACTGGAGCAGAGGAAGTGAAGGCTCTCTCGCCCTGTGCAATCCACTGGTGTCCTCTCTCTGCTTAAGCAGGTATGGCTCACAGCCAAGTGAGCAATCCTAGAAAAAGGTCTTTGACCCAGACCAGTGACTCCATAAAGCTGTGTAGCTTATGTCCAAGACTTGAGTGAAGGGACCGCCTAGGCTTTAGAACTGCGTTGACAAGTTTCCTGTGTTAGGTCAACTGTAATTTCACACTGGAATGCATCCGTGGAGCAGACCCTGCTCACCCATCACAGCATGGCAGGGTTCTGTCAGTGGCTTCTCTGACAGCACACACCTCCTCGCAAAGCTGTACCCATTCACGGTGCACGACTGAGGCAGTGAATGTTCTACTATGGGATTTTTTTAAAGTCGAACTTAGCACCTGACCTGAAAGACATTTTACACGCTTGTGATGTGCCTGTGACTATTTTAAGCACTTAAAATACTAATTCTATTTAATCTCACCAAATATAAAGAAGACATTAGAAGCATCCAAAGAACTTTCGCAGAGAAAGAACTTTGACTTTTCAAAGACTAATGTGTTTCTAACTTGTTGAGAGCAATATAAATCTATACACTTAACGTATATACTCGTGTATAAGCCGAATTTTCCAGCACTTTAATGCAGTTTTTGTGATAAAATTAGGTGCCTTGACTGATATTCAGGTCAGCTTATACGCAAGTATACCTGATAAATATATAAGATGATCTATTGGGTTTGTAATTACTATGGTCACATCTGTATCCAAAGTTTCACATTAAAACAACTATGTTAAATAAAACATCATAGAAAAACAAGAGCTAGGATGAAATTGGCAATACCAACTCAAAAGATTACATGGGAACTTTAGGAGGCATTTTATGCTAATGGAGGAATGGCTACTCACAAAAGGAAAGGCACAAATGGTTGTACAACTCCAAGAATGTAATCAGTGTCACTGAATTACACATATAAAACTTAAGACTTAGTGTTGTGAAATCAGTCATAATTAAGTCACCTCTCGTTAGGAAGCCATGTACAACATAGTGACCCGCTCCTGGGTCCTGGGCCATCCACACGAGCGTGGCTACACTTGAACCCTCTGTTACATTGTCATCTCATTGTGGGGCCCGCTCCCACACATGATGTCCTCCCTCCAGGGAGTGGTCTTTCTGAGTGAGAGAGCCATGTTATTGGGTACCTGAGACAGAAACCTCACTTTCTTCGCTTCGAAGGAGCATGGTGGCTATACTTCCTCCAAGATAGATGCTTGCTCTTTTAGGCAGGCCAATGCAGATTCAGTATTAATCACCAACATCATGAGAGAATGGCATCACTTGATCTCATCAACTTCACTCTGAAGGTGCAGTCTGGCTCCCTCTCTTCTGAGGTAAGTTCATTTGCTCTCATGGCAGCCCATGGTGCTTTCAGTAGTCTTCACCAGCCCCACAGTGCAAATGCATCCATTCTTCTACAGTCTTCCGACTTCACTGTCCAGTTTTCACATGCACATGAGGTGAGTGAAAATACCACGGCTTGGGACAGGTGCCCCTTAGTGCTCATATTAACATATTTAATACTTTAAATAGGTCTTGTGCTGCAGATTTGCCCAACACATTATTTGATCTCTTGACCGCCACTTTCATGAGCATGGTTTGTGAATCCAACTTGATAGCTGTTCAATCTTGTCTCCGTTTACCACAGTGTCCTCTACTGGCCCATTTGTGAGAGGTTTTATCTCACTTACATGGAGTTGTAATCCACACTGAAGGCTGTGATCCTCGATTTTCATCAGCAAGTGCATCAAGTCCTCCTCAGTGTCAGTAAGCAAGGTGGGGTCATCTGCACATCCCAGGTAGTTGAGAAGCCTTCCTCCCATCCGGATGCTGGTTCTTCTTCACATGGTGCAGCCTCTCAGATGATGAGTTCAGCAAATCAGGAAGCATGACGAAAGGACACAACCACGTACTGTCCTCATTCTGTTAGCATCGCTGCCTCTTGGCTCAGGGGCAGGCCCCACGTGAACACACCCACTTCACTGTCCTCGAGTTTCTATCCCTGGCAACGTTATCCAGTTTGTGGTCCGCACAGTTGAATTCCTCTGCAGAGTCAATAAAACACAAAGAAACACGTTTCTGGTATTCTCTATTTTCAGCCAAGATCCATCTGATGTCAGCAGTGATACCCTTTGTGTCACAGTCTCTTCCAAATCTGGCACAAATTTTTGTCTCTGTGCTACTGCAGCCATTTTTGACTTATCTTCAGCAAAATTTTACTCCACATAATAGTAAGGATCATCTTTAGTAATTTCCACATTCCGTTCAGTCGCTTTCCTTTGGAATGGGCACAAATATGGATCTTTTCCCATCGGCTGACCATGTAGCTGTCTTTCAAATGCCTTAGCATAAATGAGTGCTTCCAGTGAGCCCTCTGTTGGGGGAGCATTTCAACAGGTATCCCGCCAATGCGTAGAGCCTTGTTTTGCCATTGGTGACGCCCCCTTCAGTGCAGCTTGACTTCTTTCGATGCCCTCCATTGTCTATCTTATATTACCTCTTGAGATGGTTGAACATGACTCTGGAGTCTGTCTTCTTTTAATGCTTTCCACATTCAGCCCATAGAATCCTTCAGTAAAGCAACCTGACGCTTTGAATTTTTTTCTTTAGCTCTTTCATTGCAAATGCAAAAGTTGGTCACACGTGTTTCTTCACCTGTCAGTAGGGATTGGTAGAAAAATGTGTCCAATAGTCCTATTACTTGGTCTAGGTATATAGATAACATCCGTCATTGCTAACATGTTGTACTCCGAGGCCGATCATGAAATTTTCTTCTTGATGATGGCTGCACCACCACTCCATGATGGATTCAAAATGGCCACCACCAGACCAGTTCAGCACACAAATCCCAGCCCAGGACATCAACCTTCAGGTGTTCCATTTGATTTCTGAAAACCTCCAATTTTGCTAGATTCATTTTGCTGGCATCCCATGTTCCAATTATTGATGGATGTTTGCAGCTGTTCAATTTTGAGTGGTGCCACATTAGCTAATTTGAGTCCAGAAAGTCCCGCTCCATCTTTGTCTTTAGAGTTGACCCTGCTGTGATTAGGGAAGCCTTTCACAGATCAATTTTTTAAAAATTCTCTTTTTCTTCAGAGATCGCCAGTCTTCTTCCAAATCTCAGCTCCACTAAAACCCTGAAACCTGTCCAGCACAAGAGACCCTCGTGGTATTTGACATAAGCTTTCTGCATCACCACAACATGCTGACCACCAACCACAGTATGACACACTGCCACAAGGGGTGGGAGTACGTGTGTGAACATTTTCTCTAGGTTCCGAAATGTTACAATGTGTGCAGGGCCTCCTCCTTATCCCTCTCAAAAAAGCAACCAAACAAAATCAGGGGGTTAGATCCACTGCCTTTACTTTTCCTGCTGAGCACGGCTCTTTGGAAACCACAAGCAGCCACAGGGGGAATCAGCTCTGGGGTCTGGAGATGCGTGTGAAGGCTGGATCAGAGAAGCCTTCTAACTGTGTCAAACCACGGCGGGAAGGCCACTGACTCCTGGAAAAACCTGCCAATTTGTTCTTTTCTTCATCCAACAATGATGGAAATTTCCCTTGCCATTGCCTCTGAAGACACTTGCTCTTTCAAACTGAGTCACCAACAGGAACCTCCCCCCGAGGGCTCGTGTCATCAGAACAATGCTCACAGTCTCACTCTTACCTCATACACAGCGCTCAAGTCCCTGAAGAAAGTTTTGGCTCCTTCGAGCAAGGCCTCGTTTTCTGGACACACCACAATATAGGCAACGTCACGGTGGCCCCCATAGGGGTCCAACAGCAGCCTCTCCCAGAATGGCAAGGAAAATGGTGAGATGGTGAGGAAGTCCTTGTCATAGCCCACCAGCAGAGTGGGGATGGGCAACGGCTCAGGAGATTCTTCTGAACCTAAAGACAACATTGTCATTTAGCAGGGAGTCTGAGGCCCTGGGCCCCCCAGCCTGAACAATTTACAAGTTCCTGGCACCTTGCTCGATAAGTTCTGGCATCTGGAATCTCATGATTTCAGAGTGACACTCTGAAAAATATGTTCTCAGATTTTTCAGATGAAATGGACCTTCATTAAATGAGTCAGACAGAAGGCGAGAACAAGTTCAAGCTTGCTGTCTAGTCAGCAAGCCTGCCTTCCCTACAGGAGCCTGGCCATGAGGCAGCAGCTGGGAGCGGTGCAGAAAAAGTCAGCCAGCCGAGCCGGGACAGGGTTGGGGGTGTCTCATAAATAAGCTCTCGGGGAAGACGTTTCCCACAGGCCTTGACTCCACAAGTGACTGACAAACAGACAGAAACTGACAAAGTTGTTACGGTTGGGAAGATTCTGGCTCAGGGCGACCCTGCAGGGCAGGGCAGAACGGCTGCAGAGGGTGTCTATGGCTGCGAATCTTTACAGAAGCAGACTGCCACACAGCTCTCCTCCCCCAGAGTGGCTGGTAGCTTCGAGCTGCTGACCTCTGGGTTAGCAGCTGAGTGCTTAACCAATGCACCACCAGGGCTCCTCATCAGTCTTAGCCGGACACACAAACCAAACCACTGCCATCGAGTCAAGTCTGATTCCCAGCAGCCCTACAGGACGAGGACGGACTGCCCCTGTGGGTTTCTAGGCTGTCAATCTTTATAGGAGTCGACAGCCTCTTCTTCCTCAAAACAGCTGCTGGGTTTGAACTGCTGGCCTTGCAGTGAGCAGCCAAACAGGTAACCTACTAGGCCCCCAGGGCACGACTAGCAACAAGTGCTAAGGCGGTCAGATCTACCGTAGGTACCGCGCCCCGCCATCTTGTGGAACTGCTGCCAGGTGAGCGGGCCCTGTACGTGCTGGATGTTCTCCCAGGTCCTGCCCGTGCGCTTCTTCTGGATGGCATCCTGGAGGCAGGGCTGCAGGGACAGCAGCATGCGCACCACGTCCTGGGAGGAGAGCATGCTGCAGTCCAGCACTGGAAGAGAAACGCAAAGACACAGCTCACCAGGGGCCACACCTCCCTCCTTCCCTCTTCTCAGCCATGGTGGGTGGGGTGACGATGGGGCTTGGCTCAGGAGCCGGGGGAGGGTGTCTGTTACTCCTGAAAAGAATCAAGGGGACATGGGTCACCCTGTATAAAAAGAGCTCAGGGTGAAGGCATTGCGGGGTAGAAGGGGGGAACCAATTACAAGAATCTACGTATAGACTCCTCCCTGGGGAATGGACAGCAGAGAAGAGGGCGGAGGGAGACATCAGACAGTGTAACTTATGACAAAACTATAATAATTTATGAATTATGAAGGGTTGTGGAGGGAGGGGGAGGGGCGGGGGAGGGAGGGGGAAAATGAGCAAACGATATTGAGGGCTAAAGTAGAGAGCAAATGTTGTGAGATTGATGAGAGCAACAGGTGTACATATGTGCTTGACTCAATGGATGTATATATGGACTGTGATAAGAATTGCACGAGCCCTCAATAAAATAATTTAAAAAAAAAGAAGAATGAGGGTAACAAATGTACAAATGTGCTTTATACAATTGATGTATGTATGGATTGTGATGAGTTGTATGAGCCCCCAATAAAATGACTTAAAAAAAAAGAGCTCAACCATGGTGCTGTGTGAAAGTGGAAACTAGGTGCCCGCTCTTTTTAGTGTCACATACACTGGTCTGCAGGGCTTTTCATCAGAAAGGGAAGCTGCAAAAGTTATTGCATTATTTTTATACACAAATGTCCATATTTTGATTCTATCATGAGTGAAGGTAGAAAGGAATAGATTAAACAGACACTTTAAAAAAGCAGAGCGAAGGCTCTTAAGATTCTCACAGGAAACTCAGAGAGACCACCTCGTGGACAGCCACAGGAACCGGGCACGAGCAGGACAAGGCTGTCATCTGTGTGCCAGGTAGGCTAACCCATAGTTTAAGGACGGTTCCTACGGCAAGTATCAGGGGGAGGGATTCTCAAAGTAGACTGGATAGTGTGCACGCGTGCATGAGTGCGTGCATGTGTGTATGTTTGGGTGGGTGGGGCCTCAATGCTTAGCAGTCTGAGGAAAGAGCTAACCAAGTTTGAGGGTGCCACCCATACCCTTCCATTTCTCTGGGAAAGAGGCAAGGATGGCTATTTAAGAGCTAGCGACCACTTGAACAACTGACTCCAGGAAGCAGCCTGCACAAGTCTGGGTCTCCAGCTGCGCCTAAGACACTCGGCACCCTGGCAGCGTTTGTGCACAGGCAGCATTTGTGGAGCTGTAGGGCCCTGCCAAACCAGCTGCTACCAGTCCCCTTTCCCCTTCAAGGTTTGGTTTTGTTTCCTTCTTGGCTTAAAGAGGAGAGTAAATCCCTTGTACCCACATCTAGAAGTCGGAAGGTGACAGACACAAAGCACTATGGTCAGGATCACTGAACACAGGCCTGGTCCCCCATTCCTTCACCTCCACAACCCAGCCCTTCTCTACAGCAAAATGTACTCCCCTCCACTTCCAGATGTTCTGACACAGTGGGTCTGTCCACACACACAACTTTTCTGCCTGAAAGCCATGGGGGTGGGGGTGGCGGGCAGCAAAAGCAGGTGTCCATACTTTATCCTTGATTAGGGGTCAAAGAACCAAAGTTTCTACTTGCCTGGGTGTGTTGGGTGGTCAGCCAAATAGATCTGTAAAGCTAAGATGTAAAAGAAACCAGCCGAGCTCACCTTCCACATTTTTAGGGGAAAAGACTGTGTTTTGTTCAATTCTCACACTCACTCAGGAAACAGACGGTCAAGTCTGCTACCTGTGAGGCTCCTGGCTTGACCCTGACCCTTGGTGCTACTTCTTGAGGGGTCCCTGCTGCCTGGAAGCCTTTCCTGCTTGCCCTGTATCACTCCTGACTCCCTTGGCCTCTAGACACTGTTCCCTCACGACCTGAGGGGTTTAAGAAGCCTTTCCCCCTACAGAAGCAGGATCCACCATCCTTTCAGGCTCCCCTCTCCTCTGGCCTCTGTGCCCCGACTCCACAGAGCTCTCCCACCATCAACAAGTACTGCCTACCCGCACCTAGAGCCACTGCCTCTCCACTGCCATCAACTGGCCTCTTCCTTCCCACTCGCGTCAGACCCCATCCTCTCTCTCTGTGGTCCTGTCTGAGCCCATGGATACCACAGCGTCTCCCTGACCGGTCTACCTGGTTGTTTCACAAAGGACCACATTTCCAACCAAATTCAATGTACGACCTTTCTCTCCAGAATTCTGTGGTGTTTCCATCTCTAAAATGCTCCAGTTCCTACCCAGGTGTGCAACTGACACGCCAGCGTCATCTTAAACACCTCACTCACCTTGTCCCTAGTACTCAACCCTTCCCCAAGCCCTGCAGCTCCACAGCCCTCTCATTGAGACACCAGCTGACATCTTCTCCATCGTACTGTGAGAAGCCTCAGCCACGCTACAATTTCTTATTTCATCTACTGCGATGGTCCAACTCCCCGATTCCTGCCAGTCTCTAACCACACCTGTATTACGGGCAGAGCACATTTCATTTTTTTCAACCACACAAAGGTGATGTCAGTGCTTCTTCTTAAAACCTTTCAGTGCTTGGTCAGTGCTCTTTGGATGGAGACCCAACCCAGGATGTCTCCAAAGACTAGTCAAGCCCTGATGGCCTCTAGCTTCCTGAACTCTCTGAGGGTTCCCGGCTCCCCACGACTCGGATGCCTTCACACAGGCTACTCCTGCCTGGACACAATTCCTTGCTCCCCACTCTCTCGACCCAGCTAATGTGTTCATGTGGGCTCTTCACTGAGGTCCCAGTGAATAGTCCTCCTCCTTCAGAGAGGATCCCCTGACCTGCAGGCTGGGCAGACGCCCCACCCCAGACTTTCATCAGTGACCGCAGTTATGACGAGACACAGATTGATGTGGTTATTTGGCTAATGCCTATTTTGCAATTAAGAGGATAAAGTTCACCGGGGTGGGAGCCTCCCATCAGGCAACATGTGACTCCCCAGATGCATCGCGGTCTGGGAACTGACAGAGTTGGGGGACACAGTGGCTTGGCACCACAGAGCCCTACTCATAAAATTGCCTGTCTGTCACCTGGAGCTCTCACGATACAAGGCACAGTGTGATCCCAGTTCGGGACGACAAGTACCAGGAAACCCAGGGAAGGAGAAAAGCGTAGTGTGGCCGAAGGGGTGGGTTTAAACACGCCATACGGGGGAGTGTGGATGCTCAGTTTGCACCTCCTGGAACCTGTGCTGCCTCAAAGTCAGAGGGCTGCCCATTAATTGAAATGCATGTGAGAAGGAGTTTTCAATAATCACTCCTCTCTGGGGGCAAGTTGATGTGCGGCATCGTCCCCCTAAATTAGGATGACTGGTATAGCTAGCTCTCCTTTAGAGGTCTTTTAAGACAGGAAATGAAAATGCTGGTTATTTCCTTAAGTGAAGAAGACTAGCAAGCTGCTGTTTCAGAAGTGCATGCTGGGACACCCACCATTGCTGTGTGGCCACGAGTGTGCAGTGGCACTTCGCACCAGTGCCTCATCCACTTTACCACCTGTGGGGTTGTCCACATACTGCCGGCCCTGCTCCAGCGCGTTGAAGCACTCTGTCCAGTAGTCGTGGTTGTCGGCCTGCACCCGGTCGTAAGTCCAGCTCACGCAGGGGAGCGGCTGGCGGCTGCTGGAGGAGATATAGTCCAGGAAGCTCAGAGAGGCAAAGGGCTGTGTGTGCTGGTTCTGCAGCAGGAGGAGGAGGCTGATGGGTGGCTCCTGGGACTTTCTGGCTCCTTCCGGCTGAGGAAGGAAGGTGGTCTGACACAGCATTAAACGCCTCTCCGCAGCTTGACCAATATCAGAATTCTTCCCAAAAATATCCAGCTCATCTTCAAGGAAGAGTCCTGAGTTGTAGCCAAGCTTGCGGTTCATGATGGCACTGAACCCACAGGTGCAACGGTACTGGTCCTCATTGGAGGAATCGGGGATGTAGAGGCCAACATCTGCCCCTTTGATGTTCATGTTGCAGGCGCAGATGCAACAGCTGTCAAAGTTTCTATCTTTAAAGATGTTCATCACCGAGTCGGAGAGAATCAAGGTGACATAGAGACTGTGGGCTTCAGGAATTGGTTGCATGGTGGCAGGCTCCACAGAGTTAAGGGGCCGCGTAGTAGAGGGGGTGGAGGCTGGTGACCCCTGATCGGTGCTGTCATACTTCACAGACCCTTGACCACTGGCAGTACCCCCACCTCTGGGAGTTCTTGGAGTCCTGGGGGTCCGTGGTGTGGGGACAGAGAAGCGGGGGGTTGCTGGCGAGGGCAGGACCCCTGCCCCGCTGTTGCTGGCAGGGGCGGCACTGTTGAGCGTCACCGGAGTGTTCATCTGTGGCGTGTTCAGATAGTCTGGGTCTGCGAGGCTCCCAACACTAGGCACGTTACTGCAAGAGAGAAAGAGGAGACGTGGGTATGGGGAGAGTGGGGTCTTTCCAGGTGTGGGGCACAGCGAGAGACACCCCAGCCACGCACGGTGCATTCTATTCATGCATTTGCACTCTCACCTGCTAGCTTCAGCTTTCTACACAGAGACACACACACACACACACACAGAAAAGAACTCCAAGGAGCCAAAGTGAGTGCTAGGAAGAAGCCAAGGGCTTTGAAAGGGTCGCATGAGAAGGTTCTAGATAGAGTGGGTGCAATGTGGGATAAATCTCGAAATCCTAAGAGACCAGGTTTACCGGTCAGCTAGAGACTGGTGGAGCCCAAGACTATTAATTACCCTTAGTTATCTTCCAGTCTGGCTCACTTCTCAGGCCAAAGACAGACAGGTGGCTAAGGGGAGCCAAGGAGCCCTGGGGGTGTAGTGGTTATGAGTCGGGTTGCGGAAGGCAAGGTTTGAAAGCCCCAGCCCCTCGGCAGGGGAAAGCTGGTGCTTTCTACGCCCATAAAGTTTGTCTCGGAAACTCTCCGAGCAGCTCGCTGTTGAGTCAGCATTGACTAAAAGGCAGTGAGTTTGTTTGTATAAGGGGAACAACAAGACTAGGGAGGTGTGTATGCCTTACACTCATCAATCATTTGAGGTCAAAAATGGTAATATCCACCCAAGGACAAAGTTCAGAAGGGTTAGAAAAGGAAGGAATGGAAAGCAAAATCACAGGGAGAAATTGGGATAAGGGCTGTTTCCTTCAATGAGAAGACACAAACCGTGTACGAAGTGTTGAATGGACCACTGGTCTGCTGTGACA